TCATATTATAGTTTATTATCACAGTAATATGAAATAATACGATATTAATTGAGTAAAATATATGGTTCATAACGATCTTTCATTGTTAAGTTTGATTGAGATTTAGATGAAAATTGAACTTTTAGATAGAAAGTTGAATGTGTTGTGAAATGGATTAAAATCGAGTTATAACAAAACACCAGGTTATGAAAATGAATTAGCAGTAGGTCGATTGAGTTGTATTAGAATTATTTGGTAAAAGATACTAAAATCAAGTCGATTCAAATATATTAAGATCAAGTTATTTTATGTATTCTCTCTATAATATAAATAAACATTTCTGACGATGACGTTCGAGTAAAGAATGTCGAAATATCGTAAAAGATAAATAAAAAAACATATATAACATTATTCACACGCAGTTGTATCCACATGTATTCGCAAGTAACGCTCGTCCAAGGACTCGCTTAGCCATTTCTCGTAGAAATGTAGCCTCGTCACGTCTACTGGGAAAATAATTGAAAACCGTGAAAAATCGGTCTTCGATGGTTTTTTAACCTTTTGTCTTCTTCACCTTCCCATTGCCACGGGCACCCACCAGACCTTAGATTTGAGATCCTCGCATCGAATTGCCTCCAGAAATGTCTTTTGCAGAAAAATCGATTTTCGATGTTTTTTCACCCTGCAGACACACAAGCAAGCAATCAATCAGACAATTTATGTTTACTGGACTCATCTCTACGAGAAAGAGAATATTTTATCAAAACAATAAACCTAAAATTTCATATTATATGAATATACGTCGTTTATCGAATAAATAAAAGAAAAAATAGAATAGCAAGGAAAAATAAAATAATTCTTATCGCTCCTTTATTGAGCTTATGATTCAGACTCTATTCTATCTTCGAACCTCTAGACACATTTCAGGATAGTTCTTTTATCACTACCTTGAGTCAACCTTCGTCCCAAGTGTTTTTGTTTAGACTAACTATATTTAAGAAATAAAGAACAAAGAAACAGAATAAAAGAAAGATACACAACGAATGAAGGATAAATGTGGTAAAGCAAGGGGGTATCGTTCGAAAGAATGTCGATCTATTTTCTTGACACAATCATTTATAGCGCTTTATATAGTCTCCTATTGCAGGGTATTCCAGCATACAATTTTTTGGTATTAAATAAGTTTCTGAATGTATCGTCTTGTTTCTGCATCGAGGTGGTTCAAAAGTATTTGGATCATTTTCATTTATATATGTGACACAATAAGTAAGGTCACAGTCAGGTTTAGCACATTTTGCTTCCCATCCATACTGGCGTGCTCCCGTCGACGTGTCAATCATTCTCGGTGGAATATAACCAGGTTGTCCCGCCAGACCCATTCGGTCAACAAAATCGTTGATTTCCTTTATTGCTTCAAGCGAATCACGTGCGCATTTTGTAGCAACTGAAAGAAGAATCCATATAAATTATTTATTATTAAACATAATAAAACTTTACCTCCTTGCTGAATGCCATTAAGAAGGCGTCCATCTTTTCGTGGCTTCACCACTTTCAGACCTTCAAGCATCTTCTGGTCTAAATTATATATATTATTGTAATGATAGAGAAATATTAACATAAATAATGTGCTTTACGCTGAATGTCAAGTCTTAATTCTTCTTCACCATCAAAATTTATGGTTTTTGCAGACATAGTCTCCTTCCATTTTGCTTCTAAATAATATACAATATTATAATTCTATATCAATTCATGATTATAAAATAAGTCTTACTGGAGAGCTTTCTTTTCGTGGTTCGTCCGTTTTCACCATCAAACGATTTATCCATATCATTGTTTAAACGTCTTGCTAAATGATCAAATAGAAACAATAACATATTTTAAATTTTGCATTTCTCTCATAGAATTGACACTCACCAGACGCTTGCATTTCCTCAAGAGTATGGTCGTTGAATCGACCGATGAAATTGTAACCACTATTACCGGCACGCCCGAGCAAAAATGAGCATAGTGTTTCCATCTTTATGCGTGTATCCAGAACCTAAACAGGAAAAGTTAAAATACAATGCTGAACAATTATTCGACTTACCTCCATGCCTTCACCAGATAGAATTGGCCATACTTTTACCCAATCCGTAAATGGATTAGGTTTTGATTCTTTCGCTTTTTTTCTTAGGTAGCAAAATATTGGCCCTAGTTGACCTATAATGAACGAAAATTACATTATTATAGTATAAATAATATATTAGTAATCATACCGGTTCTTTCTGTAGTGTTGTAATCTCCAACACGGTTGTCAAAATTTTTGGTTTCACCAATTTTACCACGAAGATGAACAAGTCGTTCCTTGTCATCAAACGAACGATTTTTTAAAACTTTTTTTTCGCAAAGTTCTGGGCGTTCCATCATGCAATCGTAAAGCCAATCAGGTATGCATATTGTGACTGCATAAACTACCGGTACATTTCCAGGTTTTTTCCATGCAAGCGATTCATCTTCAGAGTCTCGTGCAAAGTCTCGTACAGTTAAAAATGGCGGTTGTGGTGAATGACGTTTATAAAGTGCTCTCTAAAAAAACAAATGGTTAACTCCATATATTTCTCCAATGAGTAAATAGTCATGTATTCTTAATAACTATTATCGGCTTCTCTTTTCTGATTTTTTTCTTCTCACTCTTCATACATGTGAATTAGTACTGATCAAAACGAACGACATGAAAATAACACTCAGCCCATACAATAAGGCCCTGATTAACTTACTAGTAGCTTTCCTGATCCTGGTCGAGCACTCAATTCATCTAATTTCGTCAATAGATCATTTATGTCAAGTTGTTTTTCTAAATTGAGAAAGAAAAATTACATTAAAATATGAGGTGCTATAGAAATATTACCCTTATTGTATAAATAACGTATAGCTACCGGCCGTTGCTCTTCGATGTAGTATTTGATACGTTTTTCAATCTGCTCTTTCACTTCAGCAGGTTCAACGAAACTCGCCGTTCTAATAAAGAAAGAGTCGTATTTATTTTCATAATATCGAACAATTCAATCTTACGAGTCTGTCGTCGTGGCATATACTGATTTTGATTTAGCAGCAGTCGCCAGTAATCGATATTTCGATGGACCATCATGAATTGATGATGATGCTTCATTATTTTTGGTTTTGCCTTTGACCAAGTTAGTAGAGTCAACTTTAGCTCTGTATGAGAAAATATTTTAAGTAAATAAATTATTCCAATACACTGATTTTTCCTTCTTCTAATTCATTTCATATATAAAAGAAACATCACTTACGTTTGAGCACGTGGTTTTCTTGTGATTCGTGGATTGTAATCCTTTTCTTCTTCGTCGCCTTCTTCATCGTCTTCTTCTTCGTCGTCATATTCTTCGTAGTCTTCTCCTTCTTCGTCGTCATCTTCCTCCTCTTCAGACTCTTGTTCTTGACCAGGCACGTTTTTTGGAATGGCGTCGAGTGACTTAGGTCCTTCCTTTTCTTTTTCTTTCTTTTTTTCTTCCACCTCTTTAATCTTCACTTGTCCTAAAATAACAAAATTATGGTAACATTGAGTTCCTAGATTTTACTTATAAAAATTCACCTGTTTTAGTTTTTTGTTCTTGACCAGACTTATTTTCTGGATTGGTACCGGGTGACTTAGGACGTTCCTTTCCTTCTTTTTTCTTTTTTTCTTCCATTTCTAGTTCCTTTTCTGCTTGCATCTCCTGTTTCTTTCCTTCTTTTTTCTTTTTTTCTTCCACTTTTTGTTCCTTTCCTGCTTGCATCTCTTGTGTCTTTCCTTCTTTTTTCTTGCCTTCTCCTTCAATTTCATTTTCCACTTGTTCTAAAATAACAAAATTATCGTAACATTGAGCTCCTAGATTTTACTTATAAAAATTCACCTGTTTCAATTACTTGTTTTTCATCAGGCTTGTTTTCCGGATTGGAACCGGGTTTCTTGGCACCTGGACGAGGTCGTAACACCCTGTCTGACATTGTAACTCTAAATGATTGATAGTGTCAGGTAGGGGTAGGTCATTTAATTTAATTTTACTTAATTAAATTTTTTACCTAAAACTTAAGACTGAATTTTAAATTAACTTAAATGTGCACCCCTAATATCAGATGGTTAACTCTAGATCATCAGTCGAATGATAGAGAATGAGTGTGAGTAGAAACTCATCCTTCGATACCCGTACTCTCATACATGTTGTCCAAATTCTAGTAAAATTTCAAAAATGTCGAAAATTACATAGCAAAATTCTTCATGTCTAAATTATTTAGAAATTTTTTTTATTTGTGTATATGATACCTTAAAGATATTAGGATTCGTCAACAACAAACCTTTCTCTTTTTCAGCAAAGCACTACTGCACTAGAGAAATCATGATACTTACAAAATGAACGAATTAATCAATGGGCGAAAAAGATCCCCAGCGAATAATATAAAACTATGAAAAAGATTGAATATGTGAGTTGAAACTAAATTTTATCTAAAATAAAAAAGAAGATACTGCAATAAATGAAGTCATATTGTTTTATACTGAGAAAGACATTTAAAGATTTGAGTATAAATAATTGTAATAGTAACTTATGTATGATATGAGCTGGGTGTGCGACGTTCACCCGAAAGATAAAGCCGAGATAAAGCTAATGTGTTGTTATGGGATGATCGAGGGTATGAGCGAGAAAGAAACACGAGAGACTTCAGACTTTAAGTATCATAAAGTCCTATAGAGTATGACGATTTTAGACTCAGTATTGAGTAATATAATAATTAATGTATACTTTTATTCTATAAGAGAAATCGTACCCAAACTGTATTTTCTCCTTCCTTTATATAGTCTTCGGAAAATACAATCCACACACCAACATAAAAATATATAAGTACAAAGATAATGTTTTTATCATAGCAGCCACTAGGTCAGAGGTTGGGATAAAGCAAAGACATTTCTATATATAATTATTTGGTAAGAGGAAGGATATCAAAATGTATTCTGTGAGTACATTTTGTGTAAGGAAAGAAGTATGGCAAAACATATGGGTTTGCGCGTGTATAAGAAGAGGATGCAGTCGTGTTATTTCGAAGTGTAAGCATATAAGAAGAAAGAGGACGAGAAAACATATGATTAATGCAATGTATAAGAAAGAACCAGATGTTGTCGACATATAAATAAAAAAGGAAAGACAAAATGAATCATCGCATATATTGTCATATAGAGTTTCTTAAAATGTTATCAATTCTTAATGTCCAATTTTTTCTCCGATAGGTAAGAAAAGTATCTGAGCATTACCGATGTACTGATTAGCTAAATAAAATCGAGTGAACGTCGGTATTAACTCTTAACTTTTATATATACAAAAAAATACAGTAGCATTTTTTTATTTGCCTATCCGAAGTTGTTCTTCCACAAACTGGTCAAAGAGCTCAGTAGTCGATATTTCATAGTGCTGTACAAGATAATTATAAACGTTCGCACTAGTAATCTGCAAAAATTTCCGCAAACGCTTGCATAAAAAACTACTTTCGAAACAGAGATGGGCAACTCCGGGGGTAAGCAACTCCAACTCCACTCCAACTCCATCTCGTTTCTCACAACTCCACTCCAACTCCAACTCCAGTGTTTGTGATGTCAACTCCAACTCCACTCCAACTCCATCGATTTTTTGAAGGGTCAACTCCAACTCCGCTCCAACTCCAGATAAAAAAGCGTCAACTCCAGAGTTAACTCCAACTCCGGAGTTGAATTTGCTCATCTCTGATGGATATTTTTTGTTGTTCTCTTATACGTCGTGAGATCCACCGGAGTTGAATCGGAGTTGGAAAAAAGCACCAACTCCAACTCCACTCCAACTCTATCTAGTTTTTCTCAACTCCACTCCAACTCCAACTCCGTTGTCTACGATATCAACTCCAACTCCACTCCAACTCCAAGGAGTTAAAGTGTCAACTCCGGAGTTAACTCCAACTCCGGAGTTGGAGTTGCCCATCTCTGTTTCGAAAACATTATTTTATGATATATTGTACGTGTCATTCAACTAACAAGACAATAATATAACATATAATAAAAACAAGACCGTTAGAAAAAGAATCGGAACCCAAGAAGATTATAAAAGAACAAAAAAAGAAAAAGAACACTATCTCGTCAATTACACAAAAAAGAAACAGAACGAGTAGCATATATATCATGCCAAAGGGAGTACCAAAATGACACTCGACACCAAAAACAATCAAAGAGGTAGAAAACATCGATACACCAGAAATAGAACTAAATAAAACAACTCTTAATCGAAATAAAATATATATAACAAGAGACACAAACACGTATAAGAATACAAATTTAATCAAAACAAGTATTTTTCCCTCTAGCATTAAATATATATAATTCCCTGTTATTTATTAGTATATACTTAGATATTTTTTAGTATTCCAAATCTGCTTGATTATTCTGAACAACATCAAGCTATTTGTACTCATATATAATATTCAATATGTTCCGTTTCTTGAAAATGATCATATAATTGATCGAAACGTTGAATTTAATGAATATTTCGATTAAATAAATATTTTTCTCCACTACATTTACACTTTATATAATGAATTTTGTCTATTTTATTAATTTATGTAGTACATTCTGTTTTTATTCAAAGACAATACTATTTTAAAAGTTTATATAGAAATGTTTTTCGATTCTTAATATAAACGATACAGATCAAGTGATCGGTTACTAGTTCGAACTAATGCGAAAATAAGTAGAAATAGAAGTTGAAAAGAATATCTATAAGTGTAATAATATTATAAATCAAGTATAGTTTACTCACCTAAATAATGTAAATTTTGTGTTTGATATACTTTCGTTTGATTTTGTTTTATATTTATACTTCACAAAATTACTTGTTTTTTTCCAACATACATTTGTTTACATGACTCATATTACGCATATCATAGTGATTACATAAGGGTTGCTTTTGCGTCGATACGTGTATCATTACCTGTATCATATGCTCTTCGTTCTCTTTCTTTATTTTTGTTTTTTTTTGTATTTGGTATTTTTATGATGAAAACATGTGAGCTAATATTTCCATCTAAAAGTATATTTTATATGAATCTTTAGATTTTTCTACTAAGAGTAAACGAAATTAGTATTTATCATCTCAAATATAAAAATTGTTTAGAGTGTTTATTTATATTATAGAGAATACATAAATAGATCTGATTTTAATACATAAAATAACTTGATTTTAATGCACTTGAATCGACTTGATTTTAGTACCTTTTATGAAACAGTTCTAATATAATTCAATCGACTTGGTGTTAATATATTTCGATAACTTAATGTTTTGTTATAACTTGACTTTAAACCATTTCCACGACATGATGTTCTTCTCTAACTTGATTTTAATCCATTTCACAACACATTCAACTTTCTATCTAAAAGTTCAATTTTCATCTAAATCTCAATCAAACTTAACAATGAAAGATCGTTATGAACCATATATTTTACTCAAGTAATATCGTATTATTTCATATTACTGTGATAATAAACTATAATATGA